TTTGTCTCTTGATTACAAATAATAAAAATGTGTATGCATTATTCACAAGATGCAGAATAACATTTCATGAAACTTTTTCGAAGACACTTAAACGCTAAAATACCGGGAAAGGTGTGCTAAGGGTTTTGACCGCCTTTTTTCAGAATGGTTCCACTGTGAGATGGCGCTGTTCCATTGGTAGTAAGTAATAAAAAACCCCCTGTAGAAATTTGGAAAAGTGCTTTTTGTGCATATTCAGGTCAAATAAAAGTTGACGACAATCATTCCAGGACTTTGTAGTTCAGTTTGTTCGCGGAAATCATTCTTAAAAAAGTTTCAATTAAATAGAAACGTTGTTTCTCACACACTCGCTTTACTACCAGTCTTCAGAGAACCAAACAATTCAAATTTGTGAGTTAATATTCTCTCTGATGGGCTCATTTCTCATCAGGCCATGTACTGACACTAGATTCGCGATTTCCCTCTCACAGACTTCAGAATAGAGTTCCTGGCCCTTAAAAATATTTATGCACATTGATTAACACCCGAAGTCCCTCCTTGGTTGCATGCCTGGCACAAAAAATACTTTCTTATTCATAAAACCGCCGCTTAGGGGCGGGACTTAGAATGTATTTCTTGTTCCGAGGTTAAAAAAAGGAGGGATTTTAAATGTGAATCTAAATGCATATATAGAGGTTCCAGACATGTTTTGAAATGTCACGTACCAGTGTTGCCACATTTATTAAAATTTTAATCTGTATTTCCATCGCAAATTTTGCGTGACAAAAAATTATATAAAAAATATATGTATAATTTCTTTATTATTGTCATAGTACGGGTCTACATAAATTTCCACTAAGTTCATGCATAATTCAGAAAGAGTTTATTTAAAGGTTAGAAGCTTGCAAAATGACAAAAGTTGCTTTCTAAAGAATTTATCTACAGTGATCTTTCAACAACTCGATATTGAAGGGATCATTAAGTTATAGAATAACAACCCCATACAAAATCGCTAGCATAGTAGCCATGAAGTTCATGTTTACTATGGATCTATAATTCGATCAAATTTGACCAAAAGTTCTTGTTCTATGATTTTTTCAACCCTTCGTCTGTGCAAAAAAAACGTACGTTGTCTGTACCTTGGTTTCAATTTGACCCCAAATTAAACTTGTGTGGAAGCTTAAATTATCAAATTTTATTCCAGGGGGGTGGATCATTGGGGAAGTCATTGTAAAAATATAATCCTGAAGTTGCATATTTTGATTAGAAATGTTTATATCACGAGCTCCCAACCAAATAGGATGTTACTTTCTTGTGCAAAGATATTTTAGGAATATAAAATCTGCAAAATTATGGACAGTGCATGACAGAATATACTTACTAGATGGCGCTAAAACGAAAAGGATCATGTTGAGCCATCGTATATACACATTATATAACGCTATCTACTGATCCTGCTTATATGGATGGTTCCCGTCTTAAGCAAAGTTGTTCAGATGGACAAGACCTGTCTTAAGGAAAAGATATTAGTTCAGAATTCACTCACCAGGCGTTGCTAGTGCGACATTCATTTTGAATTGTTAACTCTAACTTAATATCTTGAATAGATAGAAGGCTCGCGTCTTCGGCAAAATTGTTCAGATAGACAAGACCTATATTAAGATAAAAAGTTCAGCTCAGAATTAGTTCACCAGGCAGCACTAGTATGACATCCATTTTGAATTGATTGCCCTAACTTGACATATGGACGAGATAGAAGGTTTCCGTCTTCGGTAAAGTTGTTCAAATGGACAAGACCTGTCCAAAGGTAAAGAGTATTGTTCAGAATTCACTCACCATGTAGCGCTAGTTTGACATTGATTTCGTATTGTTTGCCCTAACTTAACATCTTGACTAGATAGAAGGTTTCCGTCATCAGAAAAAGAAAATATCGTTATATAATGTGTATTTAATATGGCGTAACTTGATTGTTTTCGTATCAGCGCAATAAGGTGTGTAAATTCCGCCATAAATTATCCACAGTGGTCTTCAACAACCTTCAAAAAAAGTCTGATAATTTAAACATAACTTCCATTAAATTTACTTTGCATATCATTTGAAGTTACAGGGTACAGACAACGTAAGTATTTCAATAAGTTTTTACGATAAATATGTTTTCAAGTTTTTGGAGTAGCGGTGCCGGGTGTTAGTAGTAAACCTGGGGGGGGGGGGGGACGTGCTGTCAAATCAGCCTACTGATCATTCTTGTATGAAACTGGTTCCAAACGTAAACAAACGCTGTAGGTTTCTTATGGCTTGTTTACGTTTGGAACCAGTTATCCCAGTTATGCGAGGTAGGCGACGATTGTTCGTATTTGACAGCCACCTCCCCCTTGTAGTAAACGTGACTGCCTCTCACTCCAAAGGGCCTAGTCGTCGCCGTCAGGATTTTCTGTGGCATACAATTTCTGATCACGCCTTCCTTCTAAATAAAGCCGTTGGTCCCCTGGTCCATGAGTTTAAAGGGTCGAGGTGCCCAGGTGTGGGAGGTGCCTTCCTGGCGTCGGTAGCATTGGTACTGAGTACAGAAAACAAAATCTATGGAATACAAATCAAGGAAAAAAGTATTTTTTTTTTTAGGAGATTTCAACAAATATTACAGAGCTTAGGTGGTTTCACCTAGTCACGAAAGAATTAGTGAAATCCATCCACAAATAAAAAAGTTACAGCCTTTCAAAGTGGCCCGGGGTCAAAGTGGCCCCCAAGGTACAGACAAAGGGTTAATTATCCATAATTTTAAACATTCCAAAAATTTGCATTTTTCATGAGTTTAAAAAAAAACCCTCATCGGACAACACACCTAGTATTTTCTACCAAGCTCGACTGTGCAAATCTCGGTAAAAATAAGTTTCACTGAGATCTCAGCAAAAGTGACATTTGATTGCTGAATCTCGGATAATGCTTAGCTGAATCTCAGCAAACAAATTAAATGTTTGCTGAGATCTCAATTTTTTTTTTGCCGAGATTTGCATAGCCGAGCTCGGTAGAAAAAAAAATTGTGAAGGACATTTTCCAGATATTTAGGTTTTAAATATTGCTTTTGAATTTTTGCTTAAGATGACTGAAAACAATATTTTTTTGTATATTTTTCCCAGAAAAACATGCGTCCACTTTTATTTTGTAAATTCATTTATTCAACAAGGCTCAAATGTGGATGCTTTACGGAGCCGAAATTCATTTTACTTTTTACAATGTGTCTTAAGAATAGAGTTAGTACAAGCGGTGTCCGAATACTCGCGGCTTACTCGAGGTTACGGGCTACAATCTATTAACAGGTAGGGAATTGATCAAGGAAAAGATACACAAGGATGCGATTGATATATTTATCTCTGGTTGTTTTTCAACGATTTACCATGGGAGATGACTGGTGATTGTTTACAACTGCAACGAAACATTTAAAGGGGGACTTGGGAAGGGACAACGATGCGAGAACAGAAACTAAAATTGATACACGAACAGACAAAACACTACCAAACTCTCAAACGTTAGTAATTTTAAACGTCAAAGTTGATGATCGACAAAAGCAATGGCCATTTAGGAGCTAGTTGCTTCAGAAGAGTTATCACATTGGAATCATCAATACAATAATGTTCCTCATGGAGTCGGACACATTCAATTTTTCGAGAATGCCATCTGCAATCCGGAGCCTTGAAAGAAGCTGGAAGCCGCGGAAAGTCCCTATCAACATCGAATGGTTTGACCCCCGGTGGAGGAGCTTTCGAAACATTACCGCTACTTCCTGGTTTGTTCAAGATGACTCGAGGTTTAATACGGCTGTTGCGTGATAATTTTGGATCGCTTCGTAGGTGAGGCTTTGAAAACGAAATGACTTCCCTCGCCAGCACCAGGGTCAGAGCCCTGGCGATCAACTGAGTAAAGGTCGAAAGGGTTACTACACTGGGGAACTCGGGAAGATGGAGTAACTGATCTTAGGATTTCCGCGAAGGAACGCTGCGTGCGAGCCTTCAAAGACCGCTGGAGAGCATGCGGCATTTCCAAACAATAAGGACATTCCGTTCTCGGATTTCTATTGATATCGACTTCGAGGTGACATTGACGAAGGAGCTCAGCATTTCCATTGTCTATTATTGTTGGTTTCTGTATCGGTTGTAATTTTGGGTGATAGTAGCTGGTTGCTTCATCCACGGGGATGTGGCTGCCACCTTATGTAGATATAGCGTCCGGTGATAAGCATTTTTTTATTCATCCAGTCAGCCGCTGTTTGAGCCGTACCTCCAAGGTGATCAGATGCTCAGTGAGGAAAAGTGGGCTTAGATACTCATAGAAGGGCTCTACCCTGTTTGGTATAAGACATAACTGCCGTTTGGCATAATGCTCGTTTAATTAAACAAAAAAAAAATCTTCTCCACTGCCTTCGATGGAGACTGCCTCAATCTAGGAGCGCAAAATACAAAATCCACTTTCTCGGTAAATCCTAATCTATTCAAGTAAGTAATCTGTATAAGGAAGTTGCATAGGATCCAGCTTGCTACAAGGTAATATTCCAAGCTAGTTTTCCGGCCATTCTGAAAAATAAAGAAATAAAACTAGACCACGTTAACATCGTTCCATCGCTAGTGCAGCGCTACGAATCGTAAGTTTACCCTAGAAATATTATAAGCGATGCTTTATGATCAACATTACTAATGCATATTTGAGAGTACTTAACTGCACGTTTTGAAAGTGATGTTGCTGCCTGCTTCAAGATTAACCTTCATTTTTATGCATGCTTTATCCGCCATTCTCCGGATTGACCAATCCTTTCCGTTATTGCAAACCGAAAACTACGACGTCCCAAAAGAGCAGTGTGTCCCGTTTGAAACGCACCAGTGTGTTTAGATTTCCCCGAGTTTTGTTTTCTGCAATTTATTTCCCGTGTTCTGTTCACTTGAGGGGGTTCTCTTTTCTTCATGTGAACGGCTAGGTTTGCCTTCCTTCGTGTAATGAGTGTATTTAAGGGCATTTCCCTGATCTTTCAACAGGCTCTCAATGCGACTTCACCGTCCAGCCACATCAACCAGTCCATCAACAAGAAGCACCGCCGGATAGTGTCCTCTCCGGAGAATATCAGCTCCAAAGAGTTTGGTGACCATTCGACGGGGGCTGCGCTTGTGCCTCGTCACCAAAAGACCTCGTCCGATTCGTGGGACAAACGATCCCAGGAAATAACGCCCCCTGGGACACCGCCCCCGCCGTATCTGAGCTCGTCGATGATCGGCAGTGGTGGTGGTAGTGGACATTTGCACCACGATCACACCACTGCCGGTGATTTGGCCATATCGAGCGGAAACCTCCTGCATCATCAACATCAGCATCATCAAGCGATGCCGCCTCCGAATGCGGCGGTGGCACCTTTGGTTGCCGGTGCAGCCACGACGATAGTGGCCGCCCAAGCCAACGTTGCCCAGAAACCGATCATCTCGATGGAGGACGACGAAATCTCCGACCAAGAGAGCTTCATCGAGGAACACGGACCGTTCCGGTCGCTAACACAACTACTGGAAACGGCCCATTCGGCACACCTAGCAGTATTTTTAAATTTCGTACTTTCCAATTCGGATCCGTCGCCTCTGCTGTTCTACTTGATAACGGCCCTGTACAAGGAAGGCAGTATCAAAGACATGCGCAAGTGGGCGTACGAGATCCATTCGACGTTCCTGGTGCCTGGAGCGGTGAGTAACCTTTTCCCTTTAAATAAAATCCACACTGTTAATAATCAACCATTCATCCATCCGCAGCCGCTTCTGTGGCCGAACGTGGACGAATCGCTCGCCCGTGAGATTGACGACATTCTACAGAAGGAGAATGACAAGGTGGAAATCTTGCGGCGAGTTTTCTACAAAAGCCGCAACAAGGCACGAGACTACATCAACATCCAGCTGCAGGAGTTTCAGGTGAAACGAACCGCTGGCTTGGGGACGATGTATGGACCCACGGATCAGCAGCTACAGAACGCCAAAGGTGATAAAGTCAAAGAGCAACGGATAGTGGAGGAAACGCTGTTACCCAAACTGCAGCAGTATTTGTAAGTCCCAATCGTCCAAATTCACGCAATCATTAATAAAATAACATCCTCTTTCTCCGACCCCAAATAGGGAGGAAATCGAAAAAGAATCTCCTAAGGAATGCCCAAAGAAGCTGGCTCTGTGTGCGGCACTGTCAACGGTGTTGCAGAGGTTTTTCGTTATGCGATCGAATCCGGGTAGCCCCATCGATAAGGTGCACCACTTTGTCAGTCGGGAAAAGAGCTTCAAGAGTCGGCTGATGGCAAAGAATCGCAAGCAGGACATCCTCGGCCATAACCTTCGGCTGCAACCGTACTACGAGGTGACACGGTGTAATCACTGCCAGAACATACTCTGGGGTGTCAGTCCGCAGGGCTACCACTGTTCGAGTAAGTTGTACTAATTGCATTTCTATCGAATTGAATTGAAACGATTGTTTTCTTATTCCGATGCAGATTGTGAGCTAAATATTCACCGAGCATGTGCAAAGGATCTGAACGAGTACTGTCCGGGACCGACGCCGCTGAAGAACGATAGTAGCAAAATTACGAAGCTGATGGAGAAGATATCCAGCCGGAACCATCATCAAGGTAATGCAGGTTGATGGGGAAAGTTAGGACATGAATGCTAAATAGAATTTTTTTTCTCGATGTTTTTAGCTGACCGTTTGAGAAGGCATGATGATGATGGTGCCGGCGAAGACGGTTTGGGAGCCGGTAAGTATTACGAAGGTTATCTTTATTTGAATTTATGGTATGCATTTTGTCTCAAGTCCGATTAAATAATTGATATGCTAGCAATGGTTTTTAGCTATTTTACTGTGCTGTACTGTATTTTTGTAAGGTTTATTTGTTTATTTATCAATATCAACATACTAGCAATAGTCCCAATGATGTGTTCTAAAAAAAAGTATAGATTATACAGACTACATATACTACAGTTACAAGCGAAAATAACAAGGAGAGCATTGTCAAGTTACTAAAAATGTATAATTTTACACTTAGCTGTTGGGCGTCAAGCGCCTTCGGTCAGCAAAAAAGGCAGAGAATCTTCGGCGAACCATATTCCGTGTCAAGTGGAATTCAAACATCGACGCTACTCGGTTGAACACTCGCTGCAAGCCGTAAATAGCGCTCCCTAAGCTATAATTAGTTAGAAGAAATGGAAGTCTTAGCGTAGTGATCGAGGTTGAACATTAATGTTCACTTGTTGCAGAATTGCTTCGCAGGCGATTCTTCCTTACAGAGTATCGGAGACGGTTAAGGCTCTGAAAACATCTCTTCGGATACGTAAGGGCTCGACATTTATCAATGGATCACATCATTCGAGCAGTTTAAAATGACGTTCTCTACCACTCGAACTTTAACGTTGAACAATATTTTAATATTTATTCTTCTACAACCTCGAGAAAATAGGGTCTTATTTGTTATATGCTTGAAAAATCTGGTTTCATTTCCGTAAAATCGCTGGTAGAAGGTCGTCCCAAAACTGCTCGACAATATATATGATTAGTTGGCAGCGATTCTCGTAGCTTGGAAGACGTAGTGGGTATCTCTAAGGCAGCTTACGGAGCGCGAAGCGATGAAAACGTCGTTGCACAGATTCAATTCACTCGGCCCCATTATTGTAGTTTGGGCTCCAGACTGCAGAGCAGTATTCCAGCGTAGATCGTACGAGAGAGCAATAGAGCGATTTCAAGCAGTAAATGTCTGTGAAGTTCCTAGTAATCTTGAAGACAAAGCCAAGAGTTCTGGACGCTTTGTCGACGACATTCGATATATGGTGTAAGTATGTCAGCTTTGAGTCCAGAAAAACGCCTAAGTCTTTCGCGCAATGCACCCGTTCGGTAGTCTTGCCTAGTAGTTAGTAGTTGTTAATAATCGGTTGTTTCTTGCGTGAGAAAGTAATGATTGTACACTTAGCTGGGTTGACCACCAGTCGGTTTAGACTACACCAGTCAGCAAAGATGTCAATCTAATTTTGGAGAGAACGGCAGTCGGCGAGTGAGCGGATGCGTAGAAAAACTTTCAGATCGTCTGCAAACGATAATCGTGGCCCTGTGATAACATGTTGAACGTCGTCGAAGTAAAGCAGAAATATCAATGGTCCCAGATGGCTACCCTGAGGTATACCGGGCTTTGCGTAGAAGCTTGCTGAGCGACAAGTACCCAATGTTACTGTCAGTTGGCGCTCCGTGAGGTATGAACGAAACCATCTCAAAAGATTTCCACCGACCCCAAGTCTATCAAGCTTAGCGATCGCAATTTCGTGGTTCAACTGTCTGTGATGTAAGACGTTAGGCACAGCAGGTTCGTAGTTGTGGAACGCCCAGCTATGAATCCGTGTTGATCTATACTTAGATATTTCTTGCAATGCGCATTTAGGGACTATGACAACCAATTCAAAAAGTTTTGATACAGCACTCAGCGACGTGATTCCCCGGTAGTTGTTTACGTCGCGTTTGCTTCCCTTTTTATGAACAGAAAACATATCCACAGTCTTCTAGCAAGACGGAAAGATGCCGCTGGAAAGAGAGAGTTGGAATATGCGGCGCAGTGGATCTAAAAGACAAGTGATGTTCTTTTTAAGAATAATCGACGGAACACCATCGGGTCCAGCCTTAGCAGAAGTCTTAAGTTTAGATGGTGACAAGTTTGTAGTTTTTTCCTCCCGGGAGTAAACACTACCCGCATAAACAATAACCAAAACGATTGAGTGAAATTTTGTTAGCTCAAAGCCTGATATTTGGCCAAAGTATTCGGCCGAATACTATAGCGGTCGAATATTCGGTGAAGCATTAGCCTGAAGGTAACTTCAAGAAAATTTAGGACATTTTATAGATATTCAGGGAATTTTGGAGAAGTTTGAGCAACTTCTGGTAATATCAAGGTAGTTTAGAGAAACTCAAATTCAGGGTTTTTTTTTCTCGGAAAACTAGAGGGTGCACCTCTCCGAAAAAAAAAAAAAAAAAAAAAAACTGAATCTGAGTTTCTCTAAACTACTACACTCAGAGAAGTTCAGAGAATTTTAGGATGTTATATAGAATTTTAAGGAATATTGGAAAAACTGAGTGAACTATAAGTTTAGGTCGAGAGCCTCTAATGGAATTCGAAAAAAGTTAAGGGCTTTTTCGAAGAACTCTTGAAAAAATTTAAAGATGCTTTGGAAACATTCGAGAAGTTCAAGGATCTTTGGAGAAGTTTAGCGAACTTTATCGAATTTCTGGAAACTTTGGAGAAGTTCAGGTGGGCGCTTTATATAAATTCAGGAATCCGTGGAAATGTTCACGAGAACTTCAGAGAACTTCGGAAATTATAAAACTGTGTAGAATTCGACGGGAGAACCAGGAACAGTCAGTAAACCTTAATATATGGTCACGTAAGTATTATTTTTTATTATTTTTGAATGTACAAGTTTATTCTAACTGATGATGTGTTTATTGCACCAATTTATTATAAAGTTTGTGAAAAATAAATTTCTGAAATCACCTGAGATCTGAGTCATGCAGATTTAAACTTTATCTACTTATGTGAACTTTTTCAACTTAGAATTAAAATAAACATGCATTTTTTCCATAATTACATTGGAATTCAGCTCAGAATATTCATGGGATTCTCCTTAAACTCACAAGAAAATACCCTTAGAACTCTTCTCGTACCTTGAAGTTGCCATGAAACTCCTCTACGAATTTCTTTGGTATCACCCATAGAATTCCTTTAATGTTATAATGAGAATTCAATTGCTTTGAAAATATTTCCAAAATTTTAATCAAAACTCTCTTCGGGAATCATAGTACCGTGCTGTGTCCTAATTCTGTTTACCTAAGGCAGTGAACTAGTTATGTATAAGTCCTCTAAATAAATAGTCTTTTTTATTTGAAAGCAACAATTACGCTATATTGTTTCATTTTGTTTATTCAATAGTAAAAAAATATGGTTAAGCATAACACTGCACTTCTCCTTTGATAATGCATACAAACTAAATCCGTTGTTGATACTAATTCCAATCAGCAAAAATGGCCTTGTTCCTTATTCCACCACACTAATGTGTCTAATTCCAATCACCCCACATTATTACCATTTTAGGTCAAAAATAGTAGTAGATCATATTTTACGTGGGCAAGTTTGTAGTGTATAATGTAAAAATACATTTAAATTCATGTTTAAATGGAAAATCATACAGAATGGATCAATTGTTCTTCTGTTTTTTAAGTTGGTTTTTGGTCAGGACTTTTTGCATCAGTTGTTTCTTTCTCTGCCTTTCGGCTTTTTTCTTTTGTTTTTCCATTTCCACTTCTTTCTTGGCGTTCTCGAGTTTTCCCACGTACAAACGATAAGTGGCCACAGAAAGTGGTGAAAGCTTCTCCAGGCGCCGTTTAGTTGGGTCTTTCTTCGACGCAGATGGCATACAAAGGTTAGGTTAGGTTTCTTTATTAATGAGACTTTCAGCCTGGGGCTGGTTCGCCTCCATGGCATACAAAATGCATTCGTCAAATGCATCACGGCGTTCTCGATTTTCTTGTTGCAAATCACATTCGATCAAGGTTCCAAGGTAGGCAAAGTCAGATGTTGTTGGTTGATGTCATCCAAGCTTTTAACATACATACCTTCGGATGACATTTGTTCGAATTCGTGAAATACTGGCTCAACCAAGTCAGTCTGCGATACATCAGGTGGTGCAGGACTGAGAATTATTATTCTGATTTTAAAAATTTAAAATATGTTGTTCTTTAAATCCAATTTTGTAACTTTGATTTTTTTTCTCTTCCATGAAACTCTAATGACTCTAAAACTTTCCCGAGAATCTGACATATTGAAATATTTTCATAGTTCTTATAATTAGCTTGTTTTTCAACCGTCTAGCACTTCAAAGAGTAACAATGTTGGCTAGAATTCTAAAGAAATTTTTAGCTCGAGAGATAATTTCAATGGATTCTTAGTAAATATTAGGGAATTTTAAAGAGCAAGGGTTCATCATTTTAAGAAGAATTTTAACAAAGTTCTGAGGAAATTTTCAAGAAAATTATTAGCTAATTTCAATAGCAGGTCTGAGGTGAATTTCAAAAGGTTTCTGAAAATGCTTATAGGTAAATTTGAAGAATTTACCAAAGGAACTGTAATGAATATAACAAGAGTATTTATGCATAAAATAAACTGAAGTGCGAGGTTTCATGAGAATTCAGTAGATGGTGAATGTTTGATGGGAATTCCAATTAGAATCCAAATTGCTTCTAGTGTGTCAGAAATTTTACTTGTGAATATATAATCCAAATTAAAAAAATATTAGGGACACTAAAGATGTTTTATCATTTTGCTTTGCTTAATTGTCGGAGTCACAAAATATTGTAAAACTTTCAAAATGCTAATTGTTTAGAGTATATTATATGGACAACATTAAAAGGACTATTATTGTAAGATTATGATCATCTTATAAGACTTGGTTTAATAAAAATATGTACGAAATGCTCAACAATTACCGAAGCAGGAATTTTTTTAAATTATATTACCGTATGCGTGATAATGTTTGCACCATTGAGCAATGTCAAAATTAAAAAAAATTCTCAAAAATTTCGTTTTCGAGTTTTTTTATTTGTTCAAAGGGGGATGTTTCTCAGAGTCTTAAACTATGTTAATCATCGATCGAATTTCCACTTGCTGCAATTACGACCTCCACACGCTTCCGGAATGCACGGCAGGTCTGAATCCATTTCTCTCCT